TCGCAGCCAGAGGCCAGTGCTCCCGGTGTCATCCAGCGGTCGTGTCTCCACCGACAACCCTGCCGTCATCGATTGGTTGACTCGGTCGTCTTCCTCTTCCCAGGTCACCTCTGACACCTACAGCCAACGGTCGGTGGGTACGTCAGACACAACCGTTAGTTGGCATGGCCCGGGAGCAAGCCCACTGAAATCACGTGTCCTCGACCGCCCCTGTCCTTTGGTGTTCCCTCACAAGCGAAGTATCGCATGCTGTGGGCTCAGCCCCACTGTACAGTGAGGAAGAGCTAACAGAGGGCGGTCAGGAACGGGGGGAGACATCCGCTCTTCAGCAGCCAGGCGAAGAAGTACTGGCGAGGAGAGTGGCTCGGTAGCCGGTCTAGAGACAGGTCTGTCTCCTGACCCACACGCAGCCGAGGGGGCTAGTAGTGACGCGGAGACCCTAATTGATGATGATGAGGCTGATCGCACTTGGCAGCCTCGTCGTCATCAGGCTATTGCTTCCGCATCATCAGGAGAAGAGGGTGCCAGCTTGCCAGCGAGCAAAACAGTCGGTGGGTTGCCCAGGAGGCAGCAGGGTCGCAGCAGTGTCAGTGGAGCCAAACGGCCACGGAGTAGAGCACCAGCTCCACTGCAGCCTACCACCACGGCCAGTAGTGGTGCCGGTGTGCACGGAGGAAGTAGCAGTCAGCCAGTGAGGAGTAGCGGGGGCAAAGTTTCCTACTCGGCGGTGTGGCAATTTTTCGTCAAGCCGCCCGAGGAAGTAAACGTAGCCGTATGTCGACTATGTGGCCAGAAAGTCAAGCGTGGCCAGGGGGCCAATGTTGGGACTACAGCGTTGCGTCAGCATATGCAGCAGCGTCGCCATTCGGTGGCCTGGGAAAACCGTGATAAAGATACGGCGGTTCTGCCTGCCCCAGCCCCCGCTCCATCACCCGCCCGTTACTTGCTCCGTCACCCGACGTCAATCGCCCTCTATCAGCCAGTCAAGGCTCCAACACCTCTGCTGAGGGGAGTTGTCGCTCGTTGGCATCTTCCGCTCGTTCAGATGCTCCTTCTCCTGCTACTCCTCTTCACGGATTCCGTCAGCAGTCTTTCTTGGAATCCGTTTCCAAGAGACAACAGTTTGCGAGCACGCACCCGACGGTGCAGAAGCTGAACGTCCTCCTGTCCAAGTTGCTGGTGCTGCAGTCCCTCCCTCCTTTCCAAGGTGGACTCAGCACCTTTCCGAGAAATGATGGCTTGTGCCGAGCCGCGGTGGAGAGTGCCAAGCCGGCATTTCTTCGCCAAAAAGGCAGTGCCAGCCCTGCATTCACATGTAGAAGAGATGGTGGGGGCCAGTCTTTGAGCATGTCGGTCTCTGCCAAAGTGCACGGCAGCGCCGACGTGTGGAGCTGTAACTACGGTCAGGGACAGTACATGTCATTTACGGCCCACTGGGTGAACGTGGTGCGCCGGCACAGCCGCACCAGCAACTTTGGACAGGTCACGCCGCTTTTGCCTCCACGTTTGCACGTCCTTGGTCCAGCAAAGATGTCCGCCTCTACCACCTCTTCTTCCGCCGTGTCCTCAGCCGCCACCCCCCCGTGCCAAGTCCCATTACCCGACCGGCATATCACATGTGCAGGGCGCAACGGTGTCACGCTGTGCTGCACCTGGTATGCCTTGGCGAACGTAGTCACACAGGGGAGGAACTTCTGAGTGTAATGAACAGAGAAATCGACAGATGGCTGTCTCGCGCAAACTGAAAATCGGAACCATGTTGACCGACAACGGAAAGAACATGGTGTCTGCTCTGCGTCAAGGAAGGTTGTGCCATGCGCCATGCATGGCTCACGTGTTCAATCTGGTTGTCAAGCGGTTCCTAAAATCCACCATCCCACTGCAAGACATCCTTAAAATGTCACGTAAACTTTGCATGCATTTCAGCCATTCCTACACCGCAAAGCACACCCTCCTTGAGCTGCAGCGGCAGAACGGAATTCCACAGCATCGCCTGATCTGCGACGTTGCAACAAGGTGGAATTCAACCCTACATATGTTAGACCGCCTTTACGAACAGCGAAAGGCCATCACCGATTTCCTGATGTTACAAGCGGATAAAGGTACTCCCCTGTGTAACTTAGATGTCAGCCATTGGCAGCTCATGCGTGACACCTGCCGCTTGCTCAGGCCCTTTGAGGAGGCCACGCTATTCGTGAGTCGGCAGGACTATGGGATGAACGACGTCATTCCTCTGTTGCACGTCCTGGAACAAATGCTGTTAACAATGGCTGGTCAGGGTGCGGTAGACGTGGCGCACAGATCTCAACGCCATGACCCCTGTGGGGGCAGGACAGGAAGAAGAGGAGGAGGTAGAGGAGGACATTGGTGCTCAGGAATTATTGAGTGAAATGGGTGGTTTTTCCACTCAGCGGACAGGAGTGGAGGAGCAGGAGCATCTGGTAGAGGAGGAGGAGGAGGAGACAGAGGACCCAGACGCACCGTGGCAGTATGCTGTGGAGATGGAGGCAGGGAGTCCCTCGCATTCCTTGGCACAAATGGCCCATAGCATGCTCGGTTGCTTGCGTAGCGACAGCCGAATAATAACCATCAGACAGAGGGATGACTTTTGGCTGTCCACCTTGTTGGACCCTCGCTACCGTTCAAAAATGGTGGCCTTTTTCACACCTGCTGAGAGGGAGGCCAAAATAAAGTACTATAAAAAAAACCACCTATGTAGTCATGCAGTATATAGCCCTATCGGCCACTTTCTGGCATCCAGTTGCTGTAGCCCCATCACCACACTGTGCCACGGGCCCCTGTACCGCCTTCTCATACTGCTGCCAGATCCATCCTCTGCATGTGCGTCTTTGTCGTCTGCTCACGCTGCTGGGTTCCAGTTTTAAACCTAGGCCTGTGTATGGCTTCCGAATACTGCTGCCTCCACCGCCACCCTGCGCCATGTGCCTCTGTCGTCTGCTCACGCTGCTGACGGCTTCCGCTTTTTAAACCTAGGCTTGTGTATGGCTTCCGAATACTGCTGCCTCCACCGCCACCCTGGCCATGTGCCACTTTCAGGTCTCCTTACACTGCTGGTGGGCTTCCATTTTGTGAAACTAGGGTGCTGTATGGCTTCCGATACTGCTGCCTCCACCGCCACCCTGCGCCATGTGCCTCTGTCGTCTGCTCACGCTGCTGACGGCTTCCTTTTTAACCGAGGCCTGTGTTTGGCTTCCGAATACTGCTGCATCCACCGCCACCCTGCGCCATGTGTCCTCTGTCGTCTGCTCACGCTGCTGACGGCTTCCGCTTTTTAACCTAGGCCTGTGTATGGCTTCCGAATACTGCTGCCTCCACCGCCACCCTGCGCCATGTGCCTCTGTCGTCTGCTCACGCTGCTGACGGCTTCCGCTTTTTAAACTAGTCCTGTGTATGTCTTCCGAATACTGCTGCCTCCACCGCCACCCTGCCCATGTGCCACTTTCAGGTCTCCTTACACTGTTGGTGGGTTCCATTTTGTGATAGGGTGCTGTATGGCCTTCCATTGCTGCTGCCTCCACCGCCACCTGCGCCATGTGCCTCTGTCGTCTGCTCACGCTGCTGACGGCTTCCGCTTTTTAAACGAGGCCTGTGTGTTTGGCTTCCGAATACTGCTGCATCCACCGCCACCCTGCGCCATGTGTCTCTGTCGTCTGCTCACGCTGCTGACGGCTTCCCGCTTTTTAACCTAGGGCCTGTGTATGGCTTCCGAATACTGCTGCCTCCACCGCCACCCTGCGCCATGTGCCTCTGTCGTCTGCTCACGCTGCTGACGGCTTCCGCTTTTTAAACTAGTCCTGTGTATGGCTTCCGAATACTGCTGCCTCCACCGCCACCCTGCGCCATGTGCCACTTTCAGGTCTCCTTACACTGTTGGTGGGTTCCATTTTGTGATAGGGTGCTGTATGGCCTTCCATTGCTGCTGCCTCCACCGCCACCCTGCGCCATGTGCCTCTGTCGTCTGCTCACGCTGCTGACGGCTTCCGCTTTTTAACCGAGGCCTGTGTTTTGCTTCCGAATACTGCTGCATCCACCGCCACCCACCCTGCGCCATGTGTCTCTGTCGTCTCTGCTCACGCTGCTGACGGCTTCCGCTTTTTAACCTAGGCCTGTGTATGGCTTCCGAATACTGCTGCCTCCACCGCCACCCTGCGCCATGTGCCTCTGTCTCTGTCTGCTCACGCTGCTGACGGCTTCCGCTTTTTAAACTAGGCCTCCTGTGTATGGCTTCCGAATACTGCTGCCTCCACCGCCACCCTGCGCCATGTGCCACTTTCAGGTCTCCTTACACTGTTGGTGGGTTCCATTTTGTGATAGGGTGCTGTATGGCCTTCCATTGCTGCTGCCTCCACCGCCACCCTGCGCCATGTGCCTCTGTCGTCTGCTCACGCTGCTGACGGCTTCCGCTTTTTAACCGAGGCCTGTGTTTGGCTTCCGAATACTGCTGCATCCACCGCCACCCTGCGCCATGTGTCTCTGTCGTCTGCTCACGCTGCTGACGGCTTCCGCTTTTTAACCTAGGCTGTGTATGGCTTCCGAATACTGCTGCCTCCACCGCACCCTGCGCCATGTGCCTCTGTCGTCTGCTCACGCTGCTGACGGCTTCCGCTTTTTAAACCTAGGCCTGTGTATGTCTTCCGAATACTGCTGCCTCCACCGCCACCCTGCGCCATGTGCCACTTTCAGGTCTCCTTACACTGTTGGTGGGTTCCATTTTGTGATAGGGTGCTGTATGGCCTTCCATTGCTGCTGCCTCCACCGCCACCCTGCGCCATGTGCCTCTGTCGTCTGCTCACGCTGCTGACGGCTTCCGCTTTTTTAACCGAGGCCTGTGTTTGGCTTCCGAATACTGCTGCATCCACCGCCACCCTGCGCCATGTGTCTCTGTCGTCTGCTCACGCTGCTGGTGACGGCTTCCGCTTTTTAACCCTAGGCCTGTGTATGGCTTCCGAATACTGCTGCCTCCACCGCCACCCTGCGCCATGTGCCTCTGTCGTCTGCTCACGCTGCTGACGGCTTCCGCTTTTTAAACTAGGCCTGTGTATGGCTTCCGAATACTGCTGCCTCCACCGCCACCCTGCGCCATGTGCCACTTTCAGGTCTCCTTACACACTGTTGGTGGGTTCCATTTTGTGATAGGGTGCTGTATGGCCTTCCATTGCTGCTGCCTCCACCGCCACCCTGCGCCATGTGCCTCTGTCGTCTGCTCACGCTGCTGACGGCTTCCGCTTTTTACCGAGGCCTGTGTTTGGCTTCCGAATACTGCTGCATCCACCGCCACCCTGCGCCATGTGTCTCTGTCGTCTGCTCACGCTGCTGACGGCTTCCGCTTTTTAACCTAGGCCTGTGTATGGCTTCCGAATACTGCTGCCTCCACCGCCACCCTGCGCCATGTGCCTCTGTCGTCTGCTCACGCTGCTGACGGCTTCCGCTTTTTAAACTAGTCCTGTGTATGTCTTCCGAATACTGCTGCCTCCACCGCCACCCTGCGCCATGTGTGCCACTTTCAGGTCTCCTTACACTGTTGGTGGGTTCCATTTTGTGATAGGGTGCTGTATGGCCTTCCATTGCTGCTGCCTCCACCGCCACCCTGCGCCATGTGCCTCTGTCGTCTGCTCACGCTGCTGACGGCTTCCGCTTTTTAACCGAGGCCTGTGTTTGGCTTCCGAATACTGCTGCATCCACCGCCACCCTGCGCCATGTGTCTCTGTCGTCTGCTCACGCTGCTGACGGCTTCCGCTTTTTAACCTAGGCCTGTGTATGGCTTCCGAATACTGCTGCCTCCACCGCCACCCTGCGCGCCATGTGCCTCTGTCGTCTGCTCACGCTGCTGACGGCTTCCGCTTTTTAAACTAGTCCTGTGTATGTCTTCCGAATACTGCTGCCTCCACCGCCACCCTGCGCCATGTGCCACTTTCAGGTCTCCTTACACTGTTGGTGGGTTCCATTTTGTGATAGGGTGCTGTATGGCCTTCCATTGCTGCTGCCTCCACCGCCACCCTGCGCCATGTGCCTCTGTCGTCTGCTCACGCTGCTGACGGCTTCCGCTTTTTAACCGAGGCCTGTGTTTGGCTTTCCGAATACTGCTGCATCCACCGCCCCCCTGCGCCATGTGTCTCTGTCGTCTGCTCACGCTGCTGACGGCTTCCGCTTTTTAACCTAGGCCTGTGTATGGCTTCCGAATACTGCTGCCTCCACCGCCCCCCTGCGCCATGTGCCTCTGTCGTCTGCTCACGCTGCTGACGGCTTCCGCTTTTTAAACTAGTCCTGTGTATGTCTTCCGAATACTGCTGCCTCCACCCACCCTGCGCCATGTGCCACTTTCAGGTCTCCTTACACTGTTGGTGGGTTCCATTTTGTGATAGGGTGCTGTATGGCCTTCCATTGCTGCTGCCTCCACCGCCACCCTGCGCCATGTGCTCTGTCGTCTGCTCACGCTGCTGACGGCTTCCGCTTTTTAACCGGGCCTGTGTTTGGCTTCCGAATACTGCTGCATCCACCGCCACCTGCGCCATGTGTCTCTGTCTCTGTCGTCTGCTCACGCTGCTGACGGCTTCCGCTTTTTAACCTAGGCCTGTGTATGGCTTCCGAATACTGCTGCCTCCACCGCCACCCTGCGCCATGTGCCTCTGTCGTCTGCTCACGCTGCTGACGGCTTCCGCTTTTTAAACTAGTCCTGTGTATGTCTTCCGAATACTGCTGCCTCCACCGCCACCCTGCGCCATGTGCCACTTTCAGGTCTCCTTACACTGTTGGTGGGTTCCATTTTGTGATAGGGTGCTGTATGGCCTTCCATTGCTGCTGCCTCCACCGCCACCCTGCGCCATGTGCCTCTGTCGTCTGCTCACGCTGCTGACGGCTTCCGCTTTTTAACCGAGGCCTGTGTTTGCTTCCGAATACTGCTGCATCCACCGCCACCCTGCGCCATGTGTCTCTGTCGTCTGCTCATGCTGCTGACGGCTTCCGCTTTTTTAACCTAGGCCTGTGTATGGCCTTCAATTGAAGCTGCTTCTGCTCCACCACTCTGCCATTGGACTCTTGATAGTCGTCTCCCCACGCTGCTGCTGGGGGGACTTTTTAACATAGGCCTCTGTATGGGCCTTCAATTTTAGCTGCTTACGCTCCGCCACTCTGCCATGGGAGCCCCTGTACCGCCTCCTCATGCTGCTGCCAGGCCCGTAATTGGGCCGATGGGCCCCCATACCGACTCCTCATGCTGCTGCCAGGTCCAGAGTGTGTCATGGGTCCCTGTACGGCCTCCCATTGCTGCTGTCTCCATCGCACACTCTGCCATGTGCCACTTTCAGGTCTCCTCACACTGCTGGTGGGTTCCATTTTGTCATAGGGTGCTGTATGGTCTCCCATTGCTGAAACATCCTGCCACCTCCACCGCCACACTGTGGCTCCACACTTCTGGTTTTGGCCCCGTGACTGCCCAAATGAGTGAAGTGTGCGGTGGGGATGATACTAAGATCGACGGCACTCATCTGCATGTCATACTGACTGACAGTATTATTTCTCTTCCCCAGCAGACTCCAAGGGCATTTTAAATTAAAGGTACAGTGTTCTGCACTAATATAAAGGCTCTCTGAAGCTAAGAATGGGGGACACCCTTTTTATAAGTTAGAATTCGCAGCGAATATATTCGGCACGAAGCGAATTTAATCGGCGACTTACGGCGAATCAGGGGAATCCGAATTTTTGAATAATTCGCTCATCTTAGTGATAATCCATTCCAATTACAGGAGGGTTCAGCGGTCCCTGCTCATAAGAAATTATAATCTAAAGGGAGAAGCAAGTGATACAAAAAGTGAGTTGTATGGGAATATTTGGAGAAAGTATAAAATTCCAGGTTGAAAGATAGGGTGAGATGGGCTTACCTAATGTTGGGTTACACATGGGCCAAATTTCGTCTTTTACATCAGGAACTGGGGGAACATTCAGTCAGTGTGTAGAGCTGTCTTCCCAATAGAAGCTGGTCTAACGACCAGCTTTTTTCAAAGGAACATACTGTGGGGGAAAACCACCATTCCGATCAGTGCTTACAGCCAATGGCTGCAGGCGCTGAATATCAGTGTGTTCTGGAGGGGGGGGGGATAGTCCCCCTGTCAGAAAAAAAGGCACAGCATGGGAGATAAACGTACCAATATCACTTGTGTTTGTATGGTGAACTGTCAGGTTTTTTTCCTCCAGCCCCTGGGTTAGCAATGTAGGAACTAGCATCAAATGGTAGAGTTTTTTTCAGGACACAGCCACTCACTTTATTCCTTTTTAAAGGCCTTTTAGCCCAATTTTATTTAAAAGGGGGTTCCACAACTATGCTTCCCACGCATGGGGGTGTTCACCATCAAAACAAACTAAACATATTCAGCCTCCTTGGTCCGGCTCTCTTTATCAGCCCTGCTGGTTAGCAGTACCTCCATTTATATGGGTCTCCCAGACCACTGGGCTAGTCCCAGCACACAGCGTTGGACTTCTTGTATGCACACAGCCTCTTTCCAAAATATGGCTTTTTGCACACAGCTATCAGCCACATGCACACAGCTATCAGCCACTTGAGCACAGTTAGCAGCCCCTTGCTGCTCTGGCTTCCACCTCTCCTAGGTGGAACCCTCCTGACTCCTGGCAATGACCTCCTGTCTGCCGGGGTGGAACCCAGAATCATGGTTTGGTCTCTACAAAAAAGCCTTCACACACCTGTGCAATCAGTGTGCTGGCTGCTTTGGACATGGACCCAGGATTGGAGATTTCATCCCTCCCAAATCACTTAGAAATCTCCAGGCCACAGGTTTCAAAACGGGCTTTACAAACCCAAAGAGGAAACTGATAAACCAGTTTCCTCTGAATTAAGAGAACTGCCTGGAGCCCCTCAACCTGTATAGTTGAGAATCCTGGGTTATAACCTTGATTTTCACTGTGGCAGGATACCGCACTGCCACAACGAGAAAAAACTGGATGTAGCAGGCTTTATGATATGAATTTTCAAGGATTGCCATAAGGTGGACAGACTAGGAGAACCCCCAATGGGTTGGGTTGGGGAGTTCTATAGGAAGGGAAAGGCTCTGAGGAAACCTTGCAGACATGCATGAGAGGTGGCGACAAGGGTTCTAGAGAGCTTGAGGTCTTGTTAGGAGCAAAAAGAATTGTTCAGTAATATTATGAGATGAGGTTGGGGATGTAGCTTGGGGCAGAGTTGTGTGTTGTTGTTGTTAGTTAGTTTTTAGAATCTTATGCTTTGGGCGAGCGAAGACCAATGGAGGGATCTGTGTGTGTGTGTGGGGGGGGAATCGGGGGGGGGGGGGGGGAATCAACACTGAGTGGTTGGTTAGGAAGATGAGTCTGGCAGCAGCATAGATAGACTGAAGTGGGATAGCCTGTGTAGAGGTAGACCAATAAGTGAGGAGCTGGCAATAGTTGAGGCAAGAGATAACAAGGGAATGAATTGGACGATTTGTGGTGTCATTTTTTTTAAGAAGTGGCATTTTGGAAATGTTGCAGAGATAAATAATAGCACTGTAACTGCGTATCAAACAATTGACTTTTTTTTAAGTTAAAATAGTTTTTCACTTTCCTTTCATCCTTTTGTTGCGTCTCAGTGCTGCTGATCTCCTCCAATGTGTTTGTAGCCAATTCTGTCTCCATACAGCGATAGCTGCATGCAGTGCAGGTGCTTCCACTAGGCAAACTAGGCAGCCGCCTAGGGCACACTGCCACCTAGGGGTGACTGGGCACAGCATAGGCCCGCACTATCTCTGTGTGGCCTAATGAACCTCTTGTATGAATTCTTCATTTCTCTGCAGAATCCCCCTCTCCTCATACACAGGGAATTATGGTATCTTTATTCTGAATCTTTAGTCTTACAGCCTGTCCACACTTGACCAGTTAGTGTGTGTGTGTGTATATATATATATATATATATATATATATATAAACAGTATTTCATGTAGCAGTGAAGTGTCAGCTCCCCCTAGGATGGGAAGTGATGACATTAGCCCAGAACCCCAGGTGGGCAGTAGTTTCTGATTGGAGGATCGGTCCGTACATCTCTGGTACACACACTGGCACACACCATCCTCCAGCTGTAACAGGGAGCTGGGTAGTGACTGAATGGGGCATGCCCAGTACTGGCTCTCTCTTCTTCTACACAGCTGGAGCCAATCAGTAGGCGAGGGTGTGCTCTGGTTGCAGGGTTAACCCTATGTGAGTAGGATGATCGGGAACCAATGTATATGAGAGGGAAGCAGTCTAGTGCTGGGAGGTCATCTGTCCTCCCTGAGAGCCACAGCCTGGACTCCGTACTTTGGCAGGAGCCATCAGAGGTGAGCCGAGACTAGGAGGATGGCAGGTCATGGAGGTGACGGGAGGAGAGGGTCAGACAATAGTCGAGGTGAGGGAAGCAGATGCTGATTGATCATATGGGACACCGCCATATCATGAATGATCCTTCAGCTGAGGGGAGGGGTGGCAGAGAGGAAGGAAGAAAGGACAGAGGAAGATGGGGTTTCTGGGGTCAGTGTAGTAGCTGAGCTGCAGCTCCTTCCAGTGTTCCTCTCAGACTCAGTCCCTCACTGCAAGCCAGCTGGTGGCTGCTGATCACTATGGAATTTTGTAACTTTTTTTGTTTCTCTGTCTGATTGGTTAATACAGTTAATTTATATTTGGTTAAATAACATTTTAATTTTGTCTTTAATATTGGTGAGGGTGGCATCTTATGGCACTTATGTTTGCAAATTAAAAGAAATTTAGCAGTTTCGAGTTTTGTTGATTTAATATTTTGTACTCCTTTTTTAATTGTTTTTTTTTTTTTGGGGGGGGGGTTGCGGATCTTGCCCAGGGTGCAAAATAGTCTAGCACTGACCCTGGTTGCATGGCATTTCTTGCGGCAGGTTTCATGATGACTGATAACAGTGGGCCATTCCTTTTTAATGTTTTATAAATAATTATTGATGCATAAGTCCAATTGCTGTAAGACAGAGCAGATGTAACATGTTTCCAAAGGTGAACTTACCCTTTAAACACTATGCACCAACAGAGGTGTTGCTAAATCAGGACTCTAGCACCCCAGTATATTCAAACTATATTCTGTTTTTTAGAGGTCTTTGCCAACAAAATTTGTACAAACCCTACCCCTAAAAAAATCTACATAAAAACAATGCAATGATTTGCAAATCTCATAAACACATATTGGTTCACAATAGAAAATAGGCAACATATCAAACGTTTAAACCGAGAAAATGTACCATTTTAAGAAAAAAAAAAAGTAATTTTGAAACTGATGGCAGCAACACGTCTCAAAAAGTTCTGAAAGGTCAGCAAAACTGACAAAGTACAGTAAGTGATGCTAACAAGAGAGAGCTGAAAGATCATTTTGCAACTAATTAGGTTAAAGTGTTACTAAACCCAGGAGCCTGCATTCACTATATCTGGTCTCCCACAGTACACAGAACATGGGAATGCAATTATTTTAGTAAATATAAACTGCTAAATACCTTTTATCATCCTCAGTATATAGCAGTCTTATGACTTCTATCAATGTCCGACTCAGCACTAGTTAATCTTGTAGGTGGAGTTTTCTTTCTCCTTTGACTGTCCAATAAGGGTGCATGACCCCTGACCCTCTTTCTGGAAAGTGCTGATTGGCCCTGTGCTGATCACATGCACCCTTTCAAAAAAATACTCTCTAGCAATACACACCAAATTAAGCATGTGCAGAGTTTCTCCTAGGTCTCTGTACTATCAACAGATGGACTGGGGACTGTTGAAGAAGGGGAGGATCAGAGAAGACAGGATCAAACTGCCTTTTTACATAATGTGGAGGATTAACCCCTTAGGTTCCACAGTAAGTATAAACAAGCATGCTTTACTGTATATACAGACTGATTTTACTTTTGTGGATTTAGTAACACTTTAATTCGCAGCAGGCCAGTAACATGATTGGGTATAAAAAGAGTATTGTAGAGAGTCAGTGTCTTAGAGGTAAAGGTGGGCCGAGGTTCACCAATCTTTGAAAAAGCTGCATCTAAAAATTGCGATTTTTTTTTTTTTGAGGAATGTTATACTGAAATTGTTTGCCAAAGACTTTACATACAGTATATCATCATCTACAATACATAATATCATCAAAAGTTTTCAGGTTGTGCGAGTAACAGGGCCGAAACACAATATTGGATGCCTGTGTTCGTCAGGCTCTCAGGTGGGCTAATAGACATCACTGCGTGGGCTCAGGAATACTTCTAAAAATTACTGTCTGGGAACATAGTTCTCCGCACTATCCAAAAATGCAAAGTAAAGTTCTGTCACGCAAATAAGAAGCCATATCTGAAAGTGATCCAGAAACACCGCTGTCTTCTTCTCTGGACCAAAGCTCATATAAAATGATCTGTTGCAAAGTGGGACAACATTTCTCTCCAGCAACTGGTCTCCTCAATTTCCAGATGTTTATAGATTGTTGTTAAAAGAAAAGGGGGTGCTACACCATAGTAAACATGGCCCTTTCCCAACTTTTTTTGTTTTTTTTTTTTTTTTATATGGTACATTTTTTCGCAGTTTAAACATTTGATATGCTTTCTTTCTTCTATTGT